GCTTTCTCTATTCTCTTATCTCCACTCCTCACTCTCATCCTCCTTTTTTTAATCGTAAAAACATGTCTTTACTGTTAACAATAGAATAGAATAGAAGAAGACACTTTGGCACAATTACTGAGCAGCGATTTCTGAGCTTAAATCAAGAAAAAATAAAAAAACAGCCACATATTTGATCATCAGGAAAAGAACCACGTGCATGAATGACCCTGTTTTACTGTCTTTAACCTACTTTCACTCATTTTGCAGCAGCCTGGTGTATTTTCAGCTTCAATTTGTCTCAGAAACGAAGGGAAAGTTCCAGTAAATTCACCTAAAAACAGGCAGACCTGCAGATTCAGCCTTCCATAGATGGAAATATTTGGCTTCATATCAACACAAATAGATCAGAATGGACCAAGATAAGAGCTGGAGCTTTTCTGAGGGACTGTAAAGGCTTATTTTCCACCAACTCTACACCTTTAGAGATTATTTTCTGGATGATCTATAGAGTGTTTTTCAAACCTCTGCAGGTCAGCGTTTTTTAACTTATAGGATTTTGTCTCTGTGGACAAAACACCATCTCTTTTATTTTAGGGGCAGGATTTAGTTTTAGACAGCTTTAGTTTTGTACACCCAAAAAGGAAAAAACACAGGCTGTGACTCACATTAGTTTTGACCCGCGGATGAGTGGAAAGTGACATGACACGGTTTCATTTCTGTGTTTTCCAAAGGGAAGGAGGTCACGTAGCAAATCAGAGAGGAGCGGGATTTCCTCAGAAATGGATTAAATCAATCAGAGTTTTAACATCTCTGGTGGTTTACAGGTCATCAGCGACAGCCGTCAGCGCGGGCTCTGACGCAGCTGTCTGACAGGTCCAGGGGGCTTTGATTGACAGGTGCGTCGGCCAATGAACACGCAGAGTGCACAGGCTGGGACCTCCTCTGTTTGTCGCCTCCGGTGGGAACAACCGACGACGGCTAAAGGCTAAATCCTCCGTTTGGGGGCTGAAAACAGTCTTTAGTTTGATGTCAAGATGGCTTCCTCCACCTTTTCTGTACGTTGTCGGGGGTAACTGTAAATATAGCCGCGTTTTCCACAGGAAAAGCAGGCTGATTTGAGTATTAGCCCCCTGGCTTTGCCTGGTTCAGAGGCTCAGAGGGAAGCTGGCACCTAACGATGAAGTGCCTGTTCATTTGATGATAATGGAATAAACTCCTGGATTAGGAGGAAGTCTTTTTCACAAGGAAGTGGAACCGAATGAAGGCTCGGAATTGTTAGACTTGTAAAACAACTCTAGAAGTCCCAGAGAATTTCAGTTTTCCTGCATTCCCCCCTCCCTTCCTCAAGTTTGTATATTCACTCTACCTAGCTAACTGTCCCTATTGTAATAAAAACAACCTGAGATATGACCAGAACTTCTACATGAGACTGGATAAAGGCTGAAACAAACTGGCATCAGAAGAAGAGCTTTTCAGTACCTGCCCCTGATTCATATCCCTATTCATCTCTAAATATCTTTATTTAGGCAAACCTATTGAACAACCAGAGATCATTGGGGTCCTAGTCCCTGAGCTGAGAACAGATCATAACGAAACTTTTCCAACATGGCCAGGCAGAGGCTATTTATACTGTCCATTCACCAACAGACTCATTTATATTGCAAAGCTCACTATGTGAAAGAAAGAATAATTGTATTTTGTCTTGTCTCGCCTTTTCATGTCATTCAAAATTTCAGCTTAGAAAATTACAAACAGTACGCCTTTAGTATTGGAGTAACATTTATGTCACACAAGGAGAAGCCCTAGTCTCTTTATCTCACATGTTTTCTTCCTTTGGTGCCTTTTCTTGCATAAACCTGTTACAAGGTTCATTTGCAGGTCGCAAAATGAACTTTGGTGTCTCCTTTTCGCACTCCGATCTTGAAATCTCAATAACTGGATCAAACGTTTGGGAGGGGCTGGGGAGAGGAAGTTAACGTGACTCAAACCTCCATTTCCCCCCCGACGCCGGCTGGTCTGAGCAGAGAAACTCAAACAGACTGAAGCGGTCCCTGATAGGTTAGCGGGTCGATAGCATCCCGCTTCCTCCCATAAACGCTAGTCCTATCCTCCGTGTCTGTTCCTGGTTCTGGGGGCAGAGTTTCCCCCCAGTTCTCGCTCCGCTAAGCCCCACTAAGCACTTCCCAAATCCCCCCCGGGGTGTCGGGGAGCTGACAGGAGGGGGGGGGGGGGGGAGGGAAGGAGGACCAAGGTTGTGATGGAGGTCAGATGAGAAAAGAAAGTGTGAATTGCTGCAGAATATCCGATCAAAAATACTAAAAAATGTCCTCCAGCAGCTCCGAATGACCTAAATACTCCCTTTTGCTCATCTGAACACGCTTATATCTGCATATTTTCTTCTCTTTTTCCAAGTTAATAACCAAATAGACTCAGATTAAACGTACACTTGTGAGTCTAAGTTACAGGGAACTCGCATTACCCAAACCTGGGTGTGCAAACAACAGGCACAAGACCTGAGAAAACCGTGTTTTTAGCCATTTCTCCGAACGCAGAAACACAGAAAAAAAACATCAGACTCGGTTATTTGGTTTAATCTCTGCTGGTTTAAAAGTGAATTATCACCCCAGAGAGCATTCTCTGAGCAGAACCACTCCAAAGCCCTGTTTCTTTACAAACAGCTGCCAAATATGTAGAAAGTGGCTTTAGCCTTCTGTAGAAACCAGAGCGAGCAGACATGGAAATACAGGCTGAGCCAAAACCGGTTCAGCTCTAAACAGCTTCCAGTCTGGGCTGAGCTCCTTTATTCTCCAACAGTCTGAACCCCCCCTGAGCAGCTTCCTTTTACCCATAAACGGTTTTACAAGAACAAGCGCAACTCAAAGAAAGATGCTCCTTTTATGCTGGTAGGGTTCTGCTAAATGTCCGACATCCAGGGGGAACCAGAGAGTCCAGAAATGTGCAGACTTACTCTGATTCTGAGGCTAACTTCAGCTAGCATGAACCTGTGTCTTATTTTAGCCGTTTTAGATTAATTTGAAGGGATTTAAAGGGGTTAAATCCTTTTTAAAAAAAAGCAACATTTCTGTACTAGAATGTAGTTATTTTGATGTAAAAATTTGTCATATGTTCGAGATAAAAAAAAAAAGCAAAGCAGTGCGTCTGATGTGTGAACTGTAATTTAAATAATTCAATTTCTCAAAAAAGGCTGAAAATAAATCAGAGATGATCCTCTGTGCTTTCCTCAGAAAGCCAGCTGCCTCTTCTCGGGCCAAAAAGGGCCAAAAGGACGTCTCATCTTGGTGTAAATAAGGTTTGTTTTCAGAGGGAGAAAACTCCCCACCTGTGAGAGCTGAGGATGGGGATGAATAATTTAGTCCTGAGCTATTTTTTTCATGTGGATCTCGGCAGGGGGGGGGGGGTGAGAGGAACTGTGTGATGCAGCACAGAGGGAGGAATAAAACGTGTAAAAGCTAAGAGCTTCATCCTCAAAATGGAGGCAACGGCGTGCAGCATTCAGAAAAAGCAGACCCCCCCCTCTGAGGAACCAGTCTGGGTTCAGGAAGCAGACCCCCCTGTAGACTTTCCTTTAGATAAAGCTGATAGTTAGAGATGCTGAGGGAGCCTGAAACATCTCATAGTTCTGTTGGGGGGGGGGGGGGGGGCTCCCATGATGCACCTCTGCTCCCTGACCCGGTGTCATGGTACTGGTTCTGGTTCTGATGGAGGTTTCTAACAGCTCAAATGGAGTTTTTCTGTCCACAGTCGCCTAGCGCATTTAGTGCAATCGGCTGGATTCTTTTTTAAACAAACTGTTTTAAAAACAAGTTTTTGACACTTAATGAATTCGTTCGGATATGAATTGCTACAGAGAATTAGCTTGAATTGCACGTGTTGTCAAAGTACCTAGAGACAACTTTTGTTGTGATTTGGCTTTAAATAATTATAACTGAATAAACGAGTTAAACAGTTAGAACTTCACTCGTTTCAATAACAGCAGAAATCGATCAGGATGAAAATAAAAATCCAGACCTTCCTCCTGGAGGTTAATTTTAGAAAGACTTTAAGCAAAAAGGTGGAGAACGGAGAATAATCATAAACAAATCCTCCTCATATTACTTTCCCCATTAATCTCTGGACAACCTCCATTCATTCATAAACACTATCAACGTTTCACATGTGTCTGATTTGAGTGAAACATCTGGAAAAACCTGAACTTTAAACTTTTCTTTACCTGAACTTTAAACCTTTCTTTACCTGAACTTTAAACTTTCTGCCTGTTGCATGCAGCAGCTTTAGGGAATCGTTTGGGAATCGTTTGGGAATCAGGGGCGGGATCGTTGGATCCGTCTCGCCTCGGTGTGACAGATGTGCTCCTGATCTGCACATCTGCATCCTGACGGAGGCGAGGGGCCGGGAGGAAACGGGGTGGCTCCGTGTCCTCTAAATTTAGACCTCAGCAGCAGCAGCAGCTCTGAATATTTCATCGCCGCCTCGGCAGAAATGAAGAAAGTGGAACTGGGGGAGCGGGCGGGGGGGTTGAGAGGGATTTATGATAGAAGGAGATGAGGACAAAGGGAGATAACGCCAAAAATAGGAAGGGGAGAAAAGCATGAGAAAGGGAGGGAGGATAAAAGGAATGGGGATCCTGTTCTCCTCCTCTCTCATGCTAAGTCAGAAATAGATATTTCTGGATGCTGGAGAGCAGATCCTCTTATGGAAACTCCGCAGTGATCTCATTTCTGTCTTTTCCTGAAGAAACGACTGAAGTAAAAATCTAAAGTGGCGTCCCGATTCCCACGAGTGGCGGCGTTTCAGTCAAAAAGAACATTAAATGCCTCCTTAAATACAGATTGTGTTTCTTTTACTCTGTGCTGCATATTTCTGATAACAAAGCAACTCATCGAGGTTCAACCAAGGTCATTAAAGATCACAAAACTCGCCACTTATTCAATATGGCGGCTTCCAAGATGGCGGCCATGTTTTGGATGGCCCCCCCCCCTCTGCCTTTACCTGCTCAGGTGTTCCAATATGTAGTCTTCCCTTTAGTTTATGAAGTAACGTGTGTTTATATATGGAAACATCTATGAACACTTTGAGTATTTTCATGTAAAACAATTAATTGTAATGTGTCAAAAGAGCCCTGGGTGAAAAAATCCCCCCCCTTTCTTTACTCGCTGGGATTGTGCGGTAATTGTTCTGTAAAAACAAAAAAAAAGAAAGTGGAAAAAGAGTCCATCACGAGATCCCGCTGGGGTGAATCAGCCCCAGAGGACACACCAGAGCCACCTGCTATTTAATTCAATTAGTCATTCTGAATGTGTGGAAAAAATAATGATATGAGGACGAACCAAGCTCGATCTGAAATATAAAAATAAAAAAGGTGGACCACGGTGAGACAGCAGATCGGACAGCTGGATGGACGCATGATGAGGAAACGGGCCTAATGTGTAAACCCAGGTCCGGTTTTATGCCTTCAACGCTCATTTTTTTAGCGAAAATACGGCGTTACAGTTTAAATTTTTAATTCAGGCCCATAATCCTCCTGCTCAACACCGAACACGAGCTGAAAAAAGGTCTAAATGTTCCCTCCCAAGACCAAACGGGAACAAACAAAACACCAGAAAACAGCAGGAATCAGCGCCTCCTCCAGGATTAAGAATAAAGCTAAATATTCCTACAGTTCCTCCACCCGGATTGTTCCCTATCTCTCTTTCTTCTTCTTCTTTTTTTTTTCTTCCCCTTCCTATTTCTGTCTAAAGGATCTCTCTCCTCTCCTCTGCTCTTCTTTATTCTGTCTGTCAGGTTCTGCATTATTGGACACGTGTGAGTTTGGTAACAAAAATGAATAAATAGAGCAGTTTTGGGTAATAAAGGGTTCTTCTCACTAACAAAGCCTCCCTGGAAAAGCAGTTTTGTTCACTATAAGAGGGTACTCAGATTTCAGCTCTGCTGCCTTAATGCTGAACAGGACAAGGTAACTAACTAACTAACTAACTCACTAACTAACTAACTAACTAACTAACTCACTAACTAACTAACTAAAAAGAAAATAACAACATCACCTCCTCCCAGAGCCTGTCACCCTCCGGCCCCCCACCCTCCACCGTCCACCCTTTGGCCTTTGGCCCTCCACCCTTTGGCCCTCCACCCTTTGGCCTTCCACCGTTGGCCCTTTGGCCCTTTGGCCCTTTGGCCCTCTACCCTTTGGCCCTTTGGCCTTCCACCCTTTGGCCTTTTAGCCTTTTGGCCCTCTACCCTTTGGCCTTCCACCCTTTGGCCCTTTGGCCCTCTACCCTTTGGCCTTCCACCGTTGGCCCTTTGGCCCTTTGGCCCTCTACCCTTTGGCCCTTTGGCCCTCCACCCTTTGGCCTTTGGCCCTCCACCCTTTGGCCCTTTGGCCCTCCACCCTTTGGCCCTTTGGCCTTCCAC